TTATTCGAGAGACAAAATCCTCGAATATGTCAACCTACTAGCTTTAAATTTTTTCTGTAAAACTGGTTATATTTTTCCGTTATTGTTGTTCATTTTACGGAAGAGATGGGTATGTAAACAGTTTCAATAATCGTTAGTTTTAGGCGAGAGTGTCTAAAATTGTTTTCTTAGTTCTTTATAGTAGGTACGTCAACTTTTATGACAATAAAATAACGTAAGTTGTCAAAAAGATCATTTAATTTACTAGAGAATTAAATTTTCAGTTAATTAATCCAATTATTATCAGAAATATCTGTAATACTGCCCAAAAATATTTAATAAATAACTAACTGTATAGGTACAATATATTTAACTGAAGAATTTTCTAATCTCATTATTCTTGATTAGATATAAATCATGAATTCTGTTTAAAATTAAGTGTATTGTCTAGATTTATGTGCTACAATTATCGTACTAATATCATTTAGTTTTATTGGTTCTTTACAATAGAAAAATTTCCAATACATTCATTGCTGTATATAGATAATTCTTCATACATACTCAGTAAAAATATATTTTAGAATTAGTTCACCAAAATGTCGATAAAGTTTTGATTGATTCATAAATAGTGTGAGGGTAGTTCCCAATCTGAAACAATACTCAAGTAGAACATCCTGTTTTCAGTTCTAATGGGCTTTACTGTATGGTACTAACTACCAAGCTTCTCATTTTTTGCCAATAAGTACCATTTTGATTTTGAATTAGCAATCAACTAAATAAATACTTAAAGCAGTGCATTACTATCTTACTGGATTTTGTATAATGAAGTGATTTACAATAAATTTTCAGTTCTAATGTTCTGCTATTGATATACAGTTTGAATATGTGTCTTTTTTATATAAAAAATAGATTTTGAGTTATTGTCATCATGTACCTAATCATTCTTGTTTTCATTGCAGGTGTACCTACAACAGCGGAGCTAGAAAACAATAGTAATCAGAAGAAGTACACGGTCAATCGGACTTCAAAAGGGGATTTAGTTATTTCGAAAATAGTTTGTGGCCTTTTAGTATTGTTAGCAATGATTCTCATAGCATTAGCGGCCTTATTAACATACTTTTTATTACCTTATTGTCCAAATGAAGCTACTCCCGAAGCTTTAAGGAAAGCAGTTGTTAAAGATGGACCTGCAAGGCTTCCACGAAGTATACAACCCTTACACTATAGGTAAATTTACATAAGAAAGGGTATTTTTGGAAAACAATGACAATGACAATATTCCCTACCTAAAGTTTCTTAAGAAAATTTTAGTATTGATAAACATTTTGTACATTCCATTACGATGTGTTTCAATTCAATTCAATAGAAACTTCATCAGGAAAATTATTCTTATTTTTACTTTCTTGTAAACGGAATATAAATTTCATGGTAACGCTGCGCCATGGGTTCAGTTTTTTTAATTGAAAAGGACTTTGTTAAACATTACTGTCAGCTTTGACGACTTAGAGCCCATTAAGACTTTTAATCTACACGTTGAGAATTGCCAGAATCTAAAATTTCGAATAGTTTGACAGAAGGCTATTTCTCTTATGTCTTCTCCTATTTTTGCTTATGCTTTTCCAACAAAAAACAAAAAACTTCTTCAATTTTGATCAACCCTTATCTTCAACTATCTTTTCATCCAAATATCTCATTAACATTCCTGTCTTGTCTCTCTAAACTTTTTGAAAATGCTCTTTCACCTGACATAGGTAATTATGTCACTGTATCAAATAGCAATTTGTTGAAAAGGTTGGAACTAGTCTATAAAAAGCTCGCTAAAAATCAAAAATCAGGCCAATACCGATATCGAAAATCACCATAAAGTAATGTAATAAAATTCTTATCTTAACTTTACGGATTCCAAAGATAATTGTTCTCCTTGTTTTTCCTGAAATACTAAGCATTATTCCTAAACAAAGAAAAGATGCATGGCACTCTTAATCTACTTAATTGGAACAGGCAAGGAAGCAGTAAAAAAAGCATAGCCTACTTTTGATAATAGTGTGAAAGGCATAAGGAAGAAACAAACAAGAACACATAAAAGAAAATCGAACATTAAAATAGTACGAGCCGGTGGTCTTCCACCGTGAATTTTAGTTGTCTGCAGTCGTAAAGTCTAATTTCAGTTTTATTTACGTTTTCTGTTCATAATAAACTTTGGGAAGCCGATGCGATCATTTTTTAAAATAGATAGAACGAGATGGATATCTAATAGCATATATCCACAACCGAAATAAATTAGTGTTAATCTTTAAAACGTTATGAAAATTCGCATCACTTCCTTTTTTCAGCTTTGCTACTTATATTGAAATCTTCTTTTCAAAAAAAATTAATTTCTTTGATAAAGTATTCCATCAAAAGGTAAAACGTTGGAGTTAGTTTAAGAAAGTGCTTCTCTCCTTGAAAATAGTTCATACATTGGTATCATAAACAACAATTCCTTTATTTATGGTTAAATTAGAATCCTTACGAGTCAATAACTAATTAATGATATCATTGAATTGTTTCACAAACTTAACTCAATAACAATGTAAACATTTTTAATGACTTATTTATTTTCTCACTTTGAAATTTGATCACAAAAGACCATAAAGACATTCTTAGAATTACACTAGCAAAGTGTAGAATCGGTCTACTACTTTCTGTGTCTTTTTCTTGAAAAAGCAATAACTTTAATTGATGAATTTGTATTGATTTATTTTGTCAAGCGAAACAGTTTTTCTTCTTCTTTAAACATTATCCATAGTCATTTGTAAATTTCCCAAAACCGACTGGGTATCGAAATTGTATGTATTTTCATTTTTATTTTTAGACTTCAAATAATACCATTCCTTGAGGAAGGAAATTTCACAACAAACGGCGCAGTACAAATAAATGTGAATGTTACAGAATCGACTAACAAAATAGAGCTAAATATTAATGACATAGAGATAAACCAACATTCCGTAGCTGTTAAACGTGTAAGTGATGACAAAAGTGTAAAAGTAAGCGACCAAAAATATGATAACGAGTCGCAAAAATACATAATATCCTTAGCGGAATCCTTAAAAGAAGGAGATCAGTATCAAATAGCCATCACATACAATGGAAAACTCAACGATTACATGCAAGGGTTTTACAGGAGTTCTTACATTGATTCTAATACAAAAGATGTCAGGTATGATAAAAATATAAGTGATACAGATACTTCTACGTATCTCCAATAAATATTGATCCATCTTTATTCTCCATATGTTAAAAAAGTTCAGTTAAAGATTATTCTCTCACATTCAGCCCAAGTGTCTCATTGTGTCTTACCAGTTTTCATTAATATTAAATGTAATGAGGTCAGTTTAATTTCATAATAATAGAGAATTAACTTCTTCTGTTCTGAACAATTAACAAAAGAATGCAACACAATTAAATGCATTTATATATAATTCTCGGCTTAAATCTTTAAACTCTGCAACGTCTAGCCTTTTTTAATCTACAAATGGGTTTGCAGATGGATAGCAAGCACCCAATTCTCCCCAACAGATGCCCGAAGGGCTTTCCCGTGCTTCGACGAACCATCTTTCAAAGCAAAATACACTGTCAGTATCGCTAGACCATCAAATATGACTTCATTATCAAACATGCCAAAACGTGAAAGCGTTGTTGTGTGAGTCTCTACTTAATCCAGCAAAACTTAGCAATATTGTGACACTCCTGATTGTAGAGTCGACAGAAAAGATTGGATTTGGGATCACTTCAAAGAAACGCCTCAAATGTCTTCGTACCTTGTTGCTTTTGTAGTAAGCGATTTGCAGCCTTTCCGGTTCAATTCATCGGAAAAACTGTTCACCATTTGGAGCAGGAGAGACGCGTTAGAACAGACGAGATTGGCTATGGACATTGGACCAAGAATTTTGTCGTATTTCGAAAGATATTTCGGCATCGATTATCCCTTGCCCAAAATCGACATGGTTGCAGTGCCTGATTTTGGATTTAATGCTATGGAAAATTGGGGCTTGATTACCTTCAGGTAAACAACAAGGTGTTTCTTCTTTAGATTTTAGACCATCGTCTTGAAGAACCAGGTACAATTCTCAGGAATTTCTTTGATGAAGAGCATCCACTGATTGCGATCTTCATCAAGGAATCGCCTGAAGATATCGAGAACCAATAACTCTTCAAGACTACACAATTAAAAACCTTGACTAGAAAAATAAGTCTCTTTATTTTTTAATCCAGAGAAGCTGTTTTACTATTCGACGAAAAGATATCTACAGTCGAAGACAAAAGAGCTGTGGCTACCGTTTTAGCCCACGAATTGGCCCATCAGTGGTTTGGAAACCTCGTTACCCCTAAATGGTGGGACGACTTATGGCTAAAAGAAGGTTTCGCCAGCTACTTACTGTATTACGGAGTTAATTTTGTAAGTGCATTTACTTCACACAATAAAATCCCCCTTAATGCGAATAATATACGCGATAGGTGTTTCCCGATTGGAACATTTTAACTGAATTTATCATGACAGAAGTTCACAAGGCCTTCGCAATTGATTCCTTAAAGTCGACACACCCTCTGACCTTTACAGTTCACTCTACAGACGAAATAAGGCAGATGTTTGATCCCATCTCCTACTCTAAGGGTGAATACATTTTATATAACATTTATTAGTACTAATCGTTCTAATATACTACTAATGCTACTGCAGGTGCTTCCATTATTAGAATGATAAACAACTTCCTTGGCGAAAGAACCTTCAAAGCAGGACTTATCAAGTATTTACACACATTTACTTATTCTAACGCAAGACGGGATGATTTATGGGACGTGTTGACCCAACAAGCTCACGAAGACGGAAATCTTCATGATGATCTGTCCATAAAAGAAATTATGGATTCTTGGACTGTACAGTCAGGTTTTCCAGTAGTCACGGCTGTTAGAAATGGTAAAAGAGTCGACGTTTCTCAGGTTTGAAATTGAACACGTAAAATGGCGTTGGGGTAGTTTCTTTTATGATATTTTTTTGGCATAGAAACGGTTTACTTTTGACAAAAGCTTTGCCGAGGATACCTTGTGGTGGGTGCCGTTGTCTTATACTACCGATCTTCGTACCAATTTTGACGATACGTCTCCTAAGCAATGGTTGAAAAAGGAAACCGGAAAGAACTTCGAAATTGAAGCAAACAGATGGTGGCTTGTCAACCCACATCAGACAGGTATTTCAAATTCTTCCTTTTTCATGACTTCGTCCTTATGGATTGCATCATTACTTTGAAACTATAAACTAGATTTGAATACTTGTTTCCCCAAGTTCTCCTCAATTATTCTTTACAACAATGAAAACCTCTTCAAAGAGTTTTGAATGATTTTGAAGAATGGAAGAGAAATATTGTTTTCCCAAAAGTCATTTTTGTTTAGTTTTGATGATGACCAATTTACAACCGTCCAAATTTAATACTTTCTGCTATTATGACTCTTAAACCATCAGTGCCGAGACCCTTTCAATTAATTTTTGAAAATCATGACAACAAACAGACCAGGGATCAGTTCATCTGTTGCATTAAATCTGGAGAACGATTTAATGAATTTCAGTGCAGTGTTATTTGAAACAAATATTGTTCCAACTGGATCATTATCAATATCAAGTCAATGTTAAAATACTTTTTTATCTATTTAAAGACGTTTTCTGCCAAAGTAAAGAACAATTAGGAAGTAATTACCGAAACAAAGTATATAATACCAAAGCTCATACTAAAACAATGAAATTCAATCCCAAAAACTATGAGCAAAGAACACTGTGAATGTGTGGTTGTGGTTTAATGCACCTTAGTATATTTTTCTTTCTAAGGATATTATATTGTAAATTATGACGAACAAAATTGGAGAGCACTGACAGAGAACATCATGTCGTTCCCGACGACGATAAAGGCACAATTAATTAGTGATTCAATGGACCTAGCAAGAGCCGGTCTTCTTGACTACGATATACCGTTAAAACTTATCAAAAAGCACAGTTTAGAAGACAAAGACATCACGTTCCTTCCTATGCACGTCGCATTTACGAAATTTGAGTATTTGTACAATGTGCTATATTCCACTCCCGCCTTTGGAGATTTTGACGTAAGTCGACAAACATTTCTTTTTTTTTTAAGATACCTACTACTAATATTCTCTACCTAAATTGCAGATTTTCTTGTCTACAATATTCTCTTTTGCGTTTGATAACGTTGACTTTGAGGATTCTCCTACGCATCCTTATTTAGTTCAAAGGATAAGGAGGACGGTAATAAAGTGGGCATGTAAGAGGCCTGAAACTAGATGTGTTGCCACAGCAAGGCATCGATTCCGAAATTTGATGTCTGGTCAAGGATCACAGGAGTAAGTCGACGATCTATTAAACTTATTGATTGTGTTTCGCATTCATCTCCAGAAGCTGAAGAGTATCTACAAGTTTCTTTCTATCTACTACTAAATGTAGTTAATGTATTGGGTTGTTCGGAAAGTCATTTCGTTTTTTCCCGACAGATGATTTAATTGTATTCTTTTGCACCCAACTTCACATTTAAGCCGTATAATTTTTATATGCTTTGAGAACTCATATAGCAAGGCTTGTGTGTGAAAAATTCCAATTAATTCTACGCAGTAGTTTTTGGTTGGTGCCCTTTTAAATATGGAGAGCGATAAGCAGCATTTTCGACATATCTTACTGTTTTACTACAGAAAGGGTAAAAATGCTGTTCAAGCCAGAAAGAAATTGACTGATGTGTATGGAGAAGGTGTGTTGACAGTACGCCAGTGCCAGAACTGGTTCGCTAAATTTCGATCCGGCAATTTTGATGTCGAAGATGCACCACGTTCGGGAAGGCCGGTTGAAGCTGATAAAGACGCGATAAAGGCATTAGTTGATGTGAACCGGCGAATAACAACACGTGAGATCGGATTGAGGTTAAATTTATCAAATTCAACAGTTTATGACCACTTGAAAGGCCTGGGATTATCCTCGAAGCTCGATGTATGGGTTCCCCATGTTCTCACAGAGAGAAATCTGTGTCGCCGCATTGACGTCTGCGATTCGCTTCTCAAACGTCACGAAAATGATCCGTTTTTGAAGCGCATCATCACTGGGGACGAAAAATGGGTTGTATACAACAACGTCAAACGCAAGAGGTCATGGAGCAAAAAAGATGAACCGGCTCAAACCATTTCCAAAGCCGATATTCACCAAAAAAAGGTGATGCTGTCTGTTTGGTGGGATTTTAAAGGAATCGTTTTTTTTTAGCTTTTACCGGATAACACAACGATTAATTCGGAAGTCTACTGTCATCAGCTGGACAAACTGAATGATGCACTTCAACAGAAAAGGTCAGAACTAATCAACAGGAAAGGTGTAGTGTTTCACCAAGACAACGCGAGACCTCACACAAGTTTGGTCACTCGCCAAAAGCTTTTACAGCTTGAATGGGATACAATGCTACACCCACCATATTCTCCAGACCTGGCACCATCGGATTATTATTTGTTCCGGTCACTCCAAAATTTTTTAGACGGTAAAACCTTCACCTCAAATGAGGAGGTCAAAAACCCCCTCGATCAGTTTTTTGCCAGCAAAGACCAAAAATTTTATGAGCGTGGAATTATGCTACTACCAGAAAGATGGCAAAAAATTCACTAAAAGCAAACTCTTATCCTTTAGCTTCTGGAGACACATTCTCAGGGTTAGACAATATTCTTGGGCAGCATTTTAAAGTTAAATATTTATGAAAATTTAAAAAGTACGTAATGATTTTCTCTTTCAGAATTACAGCAAATACACAAGAAACCATTTTCTGCACTGCCATTCGAGAAGGCTCTGAACCAGAGTGGAACTTTGCTTATGAACAGTACCTCACAACAACCTCCATTTCGGAAAAAGAAACCATCCTCAACGCCTTAGGTTGTGCCTCTAAACCTTGGCTTTTATCAAGGTAAAATATTATATTGAAAACAATTGTAAATATTTCTTTTTATTTAATTTAATTCTTTTCCTTTTTAGGTATTTAGATTACATGATAAAGAATGAATCTGGAATTCGGAAACAAGATGGACCTCGAGTATTTAGAGCCGTTGCCTCTAATTACATAGGCCAAAGCATTGCATTTAATTTCTTGTTGACCAACTGGAAACAAATTAATGAGTAGTAAGTACATTCAACTTGCACTTGCCATTTAACATTTACAGTTAAGCATTCGTAATGTTTTTTATTGTTCTATAGAAAAAAATCGTACATTTTTTATTATCTTTTAAAATCCTTTTAGTATTTGTCGAATACGATCAAATTTTGTTTTTTTTTTTTGTTGATAATGTTCTTGCTTTATATTCTTTTACACTTTTTTCGTGAAATTGTAATCATTAATTATTTTCTATATGTTTCTTGCATCCCATTTTACATTAGAAGTAGATTAGCTTTACTAAAAATATAATTTAATGCATTTATTTTACCATTGTAACTAACTCACAGCAAGCAACATAGAAATTTATTGTTCTAGAATTTTAAAAACATTATTTTAGGCTCGGTTTTTAATTACGTATTATACTACTTCGATATTTACACATAAACGCAAAAACTTTTCGTACATCCTTTGTATTTTGGAGAAAACATTTGGAATAACCTTCGTATTATTAACTTTCATGAATAAACGTCGGATGGCGCCACGCATGCCTTAAATTCAAAATTACAAATTCTTTAGAAATACTCCCACGATATACAGTGGTAGGACACAAAGTTTTTGACAATTTCTGAATTTTCTTTAGTTATACATATATACACATTGTTTTTAATACTTAGTAACCAAACAAATTAAAAAAGTCTATGTTGTTTGCATCTCGTAATGTTGTCTTTCACAACTTACGAGTCTTTAACTAACTCTAAATAATTTTACTAGTTATGGATCTGCATTTAACACTATTAGCAAGATGGTAGAAGATTTGACGATATTTATGAATACGGAATCACAACTGGAAGAACTCCTTAAATTCAGAAAGGAGAATTGGGATTCGTTAGGAGCATCAGCGCAAGCCTTTGATAACGCAGTGGAAATAGTCAAGAACAACATTAACTGGATGAAGATTAATTATCGATCTGTTGAAAAATGGCTCCAAGATCATAATGACCACTATGTCATATAAACAAATTTTGCACCAATACCAAAGTATACATAGACAACAGGTAAAACAATTACTGACTATTTTTAAGATACATTTATAGTATACAGTAGGCAAGTACCTACAGTACTTCTTATTAGTGTTTTATCATCATTTTCGTTTCTCATATACATATAAATTGTCACCGTTACATATTTTTATAATTTATTAAAATACTACTTTTGTCACATATTTGTTGAGCAAGTAAATGTGTAGATGTAAGTTTTAAAAACAAATGCCTCGTTGCAGAAATGGTAACTCTTTTTTTTTAATTTCATAACCAAAACAATCATATTTAGATATCAAATATCTAAATTGCGTTTGCTATGATCTCAAAAGCTAAATTAGAGTACTAGAAAGAAATCTTTTACTTCATATTTGTTTTTCTATTTTCTAAAGTATCTACGTGCAAATATATTTCATGAATAGACACCGTATTAACACAAAGTTTTATACATAGTTTTAAAAGCATCTATAAAAACCAAGAAATAACAATCGCGATATCTTGGATAAAATTCATTTATAAAGGTGACATTAAACGATTATTCGGCTAACACGAGCTTGTTTATTCTACATGTCTTTTATCGGTGACTATACTGTGCAGTTTTGCGAGTGTTTGTTAGTGTTTTAAATTTAAAAATCTGCAAGAAGAGTACGAATACGTAAATGGTAAGTTATTTGCAATGATTTATATTAATATCTATAAGACCTGTACATAATAATGTGTATTATTATAAAGTTTCGTACTTAATAACAACATGATTTGAAAACAAATGAACATTCTACATTCTCATTTAAATTCCTAGATTAAATCAAACTTCGATAGAAATTTGCTTCTGGTGTTATTTTTTTACCAAGCTTAAATCAAAAGTTAAATAAATTTGTGTGCCCCATTTTAAAAATATGAATAATTTGAATGAAAATATTCATACTTTTTAAACGTATTATGTCTAATACTTGCATTAGGATACAATTAAAAAAATTCTTGTTTGGAAACAACGTAATTTAACAAAAAGTTTTTTAAAAATTACAAAAATTTATTTTGGAATAGTTTCGCATATTCGTTATACCTCTGTTTATTAATGATTGAAATACTTGTGAATCATTCTTAATTATTTGAGGAGGTCTTAATTTCCTTATATTATTAATTGTTATTTATAACAATTTTTGTATGTACTTTGTAATTAGTGTCACAAATTACTGTATAACCTTTGTAAGCAGGCGACGCCTTTCCTTCCACATACAAGAGTTAAACAATAAGTTTTGTCATTGATTACAAAGTACATACAGTAAGTTCTTGTAATTAGTATTATATAAAATAATACCATCATTTATTATTGCAAATGATATTTAAATTACGGTGTGAAAATAACAATGGCGCTTTATTTAAAACTGCCTGGTAAAATTATTCAATTATGTTTTTGAAAATTACTGATTGTGTTTCTAATTTTCTTTAAGTCTAGTTTAAAGACTTTCGTTAAACATAGTTAATAAAAAAATACAAATAAAGTTTAAAGACTTATATTCATATTTAATTGCAGAGTTGGACTGAATTAAGCCTCTTTTTAATTTACTTTGTGTATTAAATAATGTTAACGAAAATCTTTTTATTGTAATACTGAGACAAACTAAAATGCCGTATCAATTAAAAATAAACGAGAAATATGTTGTTTAGCAAAGTTTTACGCGTTTGTTTTGCTCCTGGGCTTTGTTCATAAAATGGCCAACCGACATTTTGTGAATACCTTGAATACCTTTGACGAAACTCGCCATTTAGCAAACATTTTCTAGATTTTGCATTTAAATAAATTATGTAATTAAATTAAACAAAACTATCATTACTTATTTTAATATATTAGGTACTATTGATTACAATCAATTCTGTGTAATCTGTTCACAGAATAATAGTTTAAATTACTGTAACTTTTTAGTTTTGAAGATTTTCGGTAGTAGAAATAAACAAACTTAAACAATACTAATTTAAGATAAATCATCTTTTAAAATAACTTGTTTAATATGCTAAAATAATATACAAGACATTTCTACGTGTTCAGTGCCGGTTGGCGGTTGTTGATTCACTCATTAGTGTCATGTGACAAGAGACACAACAGTAAATCAAGATGAACACTGATGTGAAAGAAGTTTGTGGCGTGCAAAAATTAGGGACATTTTAAAACCCTTGTTTTATTTATTAGTGATTTTTGTTTTGTGTGAAGTTTTAAAGGTCAATTAGTACCTTTTGGTCATCTTTTGGTTGTTTGACCCAAAAATTTCCAACAGGTGATTAGTACGTCGCGTTGTAACGTTCCAGATCCATAAACAATTGTGAACATTATAAAGGATTAATAATAGTAACACACATGTAAGAAACATTCTCGGTCGCGTCAAGTAGTGACATTGACAGTGATTATATGAATTTTCGTAGGTATGCTATAGAAGATGACAGTTCTGGAGGATGAGCAAGTTTCCTTTCATCAAAAGGCATCGAGACGTCTTCTCACTGGGGACAACTTAAATCCTTCTGATAAGAACAAGCGATTCTCGTTAAAGCTTAAACGTAGACATTCCACCGAGCACGAAGTCGTCCCTACAAAGAAGCAACTCTTTGAAGACATGTTAAACGGATATCGGGGTTCTAATGACAACTACAGAAGCTCTGGTGATGCCGTACTCGAGTGCCCTGTGGCAACCCTATCAAATATGGGTAACACATGCTTCCTTAACAGTGTCATTTATACTCTTCGCTTTGCACCAACATTTTTACATAATCTTCACCATCTTATTGGCGATTTAGCTTTGATAGATGCTCGTTATTCCCACAATAAAGCAAAAAGTTCGTCGTTAGGACGAAATATAACCTCTTCCTCAGGCCCTAGTTCACGCAGTACAAGCAGTAAAGATCTCCTCTCTCTTGGTAGCAGTAACGATGTTATTCCCAAACTCAAAGTTCAGATTGTGACAGAAAAGCTCCATGAACTTTTTGTAATGATGCATAACTTTGAAGTTAAAGAACTCTCAGATACATATCAACCATCTGCATTGCTTCAGGCAATCCGGGAAGCCAATTACATATTTGAAGGTAATCACCAACAAGATGCACATGAGCTTCTTGTTTATCTTCTTGACAACATTAGAGAAACGTGCGATTTGTTGGCACAGCATATACAACACAATCCTGAAATTTTATATGAAGCAGAGTCATCCAATTTATCATCATCCAGCAGCAAATTCTTTAATGTTCGCCGTTCTTGGAAAAAACCCAACAAAAAGAAGGATAAAAATGCAAAAGATGTGCAAAATGAAGATCGTTCTGAAGAAGGCAATGCTTATGCTGAAGATGCTATTGCAGGTGATCCAATTGATATTTCAAGAAGAAAGATAGGCTACAATTTTGTAGCAGAAGATTTTGAAGGAATTACACTGAGGAGGACCAAATGTCTGGAATGCGAAAGCGTTACAGAAAGAAAGGAACCTTTCTATGACATCCCAGTACCAATTAATACCAACGAAAATTTTGATGCAAGTCCCAGTGAGATCTACAGGAAAGCATGTGTTACATATGAAAAACTGTGTGATTCCAATAAATATCTTTGCGAAAAATGTAAACGATACAACGAAGCAAGTCGCGAAGTTTCCTTTGAGAAACTTCCAAACATCATGGTTTTACAGCTTAAAAGATTCACAACTTCTGTTGCAGGAATCCAGAAAGTTAATTCTTACTTGCCAACGCCACTCGAATTAGAATGCTTTTGCGAAAGGTGCTGCCAGATGGAAGATGGGCCTGCCCTGCACCGTTACAATCTCTGCTGTGTAATAATGCATCTTGGTGGAACAATGGCATCAGGCCATTACATATCATATGTGAGATTAACTGATCACTCAGAAGATTATCTGGGCTGCACCAGAGATGCGCCTAAAGGCAGCCTTTCAGCAAGCAGCAGCGAAAAATCGCTAAACATTCTCAAGTATATAAAAAACAGAACACTCAGCAGTACAATAATTGATACAAAGAATGGTTTAATTCCATCAAAAAGCCAGAATTCTTTCTGCAGAAGCATCGACTGCTGTGGTATTAAGCTGAACAGGAACGTTTTTGAAAATGTTATAAATAATTGTACAAAGAAGGCACTGGAGAAATGGCAAATACAGGACGACCTGTGGTTGGAATGTGACGATGAAAACGTTCGCCTTATCACCAGACGAGAATTCGAAGACGTACTTAGTTTTAAGCCAAATTCAACTTCCACACCCTATTTACTGTTCTACTCGAAAGTAACCGATAGGATACTAGATGATTAATCAATCGATCGCTTAGAGAAGAGAGGCTTAGGTATTTCTTTTTAGAAGTACAAAATTAGTGATTCCATGTGATAAATCAGAGAAGAAGTCGAGTATGAACTTGTACTGTTACGATCGAGACTCATTCTAATAGTAATGCTTCTTGTTGTTGCTTTATTTAACGGAAAAACGTTCGCCAACACATAAATACATGCATACATACATCGTGTATAAATCCACTTTTGTTCTAAGTTTTGTTCTGTTCTTAAGGTGGGCAGATGACACACTTGAAATTGTATCATAATTCTTTATTATCTTCTACATTAATGAATTGAGAAATTAAATTAGGTTCCCAAATTATGTGAAGAATAATAATAATAATAATTTGTTGCTCATCACACATTTGTTTCAAAAAGTACATAATATTCCTAAATAAAGTATTACAAACGTATATGATAGTGTTTTCTTTTCTAATTAATTTATCTTTATATTATCTTTGCTCTTGTTACATAATAAGATAAGAGTATAATAATCTACATACTTTGCTAATTTGTTTATAATATAATATAATTAATTATAATCTTATTGCACATAAGAAGATAAAAGAATTGTTTAAAAATAATATAGTCAATGATCACATCATAATATTATTTATATAATTGTTTTAGCGGTTAACATAAAGTTTTCTTGTATTGTAATAAGAGTATTGTTTTTTGTTAACAAAAAATTCGTAGTTTATGCAAAGTATGTAGATCGTCCTTCAAAAATAATACATAATAACAAAAACTTTTCTGATGTTCCTTGTAGTGTCTTTGGAAACTTTTTGTGCGACTTCTGTATAAAGGTGTAGTGTGTGTTGCATAAATTGTTAATTAGAGCACTTTGGCGCTCAAATGTGTTATTTCAAATACTAATGAAAAGTTTTTCAATTTCTGTTGAGGTAGGTAATCCACTTATACAGCAGCGGAATCCGCCAACATTGGCTATTCCCTGAAGCGTTTGGATCCTCAAAATACCTTAGGACCTTAATAACACAGGACTAAGAAACACTACTTTTATTATTTATTTTCGTATTCAAATTAAATGAATTCAAAATAACTTAATTTACGTAATTATAAATCCATATTTGACGCAACAAAACACACCCTCCAATAGTATTGTGGGTGACTAACTTTTTGGGGATGCAAAGTTACAATGCATCTGATTGGCTGATTAGACGGCAGCCATTATGTTTACATAGAAACTAGGTTAAATTACACCTGCATCACGTGGGAATCCCCTTTGGAATGTAGAAGTAAAGAGAATTCAAAGATTAGACGCCATCCTGTTTTAAACTTTTGAAAAGAATAGTATAGCTATTTCCTAGCCAATTTTAACGCGGTTTTCGGCAGTATGCAAGAAATTTAATAACATTTACTTTTACTTAATGAACTGTATTTCCCCAGCCTTGCAAGACTTATTTCGAAAGTTGCTTTAAAAATTGGTTCATCAAAACGGAAATGCTACTCTGACATATGTTGGTTCAAACTTTGTGGCAGCTAGCCATCTTCTCGTTTTCGTTCTTTTATGGATATAAAATACAATATAAACTTCTTTATTTTATTTCCAAATACAAAATAATTGTCAATTCATCTAAAAATTTGCAGAAATTAGAGCTGATAGGGTAAATAAAGTTTCGCCCTAGATTGGGGAATTCTTCAAGGCTACCAAAGTAAACATTAGGAACACATGACATACTTCATAACTTATACATTTACTACTTAATAGGCAATTACAAAGTACAATAATTACAAATAAGTTTCAATAAAACGTATTTTCTAAATCTAAAACTCTAAAAACAGTATGATTATATTAAGGTAGTTGCAACAATTTTTCGTTTATTTAAACAACGCTATTAAGTTAAATGCCTATTATTTCTTTTTCAAACAATATATTTTGTTATGTTTTAATTAAATAAGAACAAGGGTCGATANATTGCGTCTGTTTGTTTATATTTGCTCCATAAGAAGTTCCATTCGTTGTCACCAGCATTTTTCATTCCGTTACAATACACCACTGACCGAAGCTCCTGCGGTATGCTAAGGTAAAATGGTAAATTGCATTTTCAAAAACTAATCTATTTTTTACTCTTAATAAGTGTTTGTAATTAATTTCATTTTTACTATGTAAAACACAAAAATACAGAGACCTTTTACACCAAACGTAAATAAGCGAACCTGCATTTTTTAATTTACCTACATAGTCACAGTAGCAATTTATTTTCTGTATGAAGATGTAACAGTTTTGTAGTAAATAATGTATATAAACAAGCAACTTATACTAACGAAAAGTTTTGACGTAAGAGTATATACATAGGTAGGTTTTTATAATTTTTAAGTATAATGGTATAAGTATTATGGTTTCTTTAAAAATTGTTCAATGCGATGTAGATTTAGCTTCCTCCATTGAATGTGGAGCTTGGCATTCTCCAGAGCTCGTCCTGTGGCATTTCCTAATTTGAAAAATATTGCGTTATGTTGATAGATGAATAATTTGAACTGAAAAATATGAACAGTTTAGCATTTTTGATTTACTTCATCGGGGTCAAATTTGCGCACATTTGTTAGATACTCGTTCCAGTAAATATCCCATCAACCTTTGACTTCAGACTACTTGAACTAATTAATAAAAAAAAATACATAAGTATGTGTGAAATTTTAAAAACGTTATTCTAAAATACAGTCCATTTAAGGTTTGTACAGAATTTTTTTTCCTGTGCACAATTGACTTTAATGACTTTACTGAATTTGACCTTAAGTGATTGATATTCATTTTGTGTACTGTTAGCAGTTAGTGATTTTGCCTTACCTCTTTGTATCCCTCTTCGGCAGTAATATATTCTCTAATTACTAACAAAAAAACTGAAAACTCTTTAACGTTTGGCTTTAACCTGAAATAAAGTAAAAAACGCTACTTAGTTTAATACTTCATCATCATCATAAAATCGTGAGTCCTAAGACTGGTTGGACACGCACCACCACTCTTTCTTATGCTGAGTTAATCTTCGCATTACCCTAAAACTAGAACATTCCACATCCTTAAGTATTTGTTAACAGTAATCTAATCTAGACCTACTTCTACTTCTCTTTATTCCTGTTTCTGCTTCATGTCTGAGAAGGTCTCCTACCAACCTACCTCGTCTACGTCTTATTGTCTTCCGTAGAGGCCTCTGTTCTCCTATTCTTTCTAATACTTCTTGATTTCTAACCTTCTCTATCCACGGTATCCTCAACATTTCACATTTCGAACGCTTTTAACTTTTTTTTATCCCCCGCGCCTAATGTCCATGTTTCGCACCCGTATAGCGCCGCGCTCCAAAGATACACCTTTAAAAATATTTTTGGAAAAGTGACTTCTTTTTATTGAAGGCTGAGTTATCTGACTTCCTACATACCGAAAATCAGCAACTTTTTCTAATTTTTCGTCTCCTATCTTTATATTCCCTCTTTCCCTACTTTTTCTTCCCTTGCTTACCAGTATTTCTGTTTTAATTTTATTTATTTTCATATAATACTGTTTGTCAATACCGCAATGTCTAACTCATTTGTAATAGCACACTAATCGTTTGTATATCTGTACCTACAGTTGTACTGTTTTTAATGATCTTGATCCTTTAATACTTACCAATATAATATTGGTTGCAGTGATAAGTAAATATTACATTATCGTTTTCCCTGTCGAAGATTTTTTGAATGTTAATTTAAAAAAACGATTGGGAAATATCTATAATGGACCAGTGTTTCAACGGTAGTTTCGGAGACTCCAACGTTGGATCAAGCGACGAACCCCATATACTTACAAATATTAGACAAGTTGTAGGTATAAAATTTACATATTTTTTTTTTTGACGATAGTGAATCATAATTCGACTAGTATTTCATTTTGCATTAGCAAAAGTTAACTTACAAAATTGTCTAAAAACTGAAACGTGTTAATAATAATTGACTGTCGATACGTTTCTGATTAGCAATAAAAAAGTTCTGTATTAGTCGTTTTTATGGCAAAATTAGAGTTTGTTAATATTACAATTCTTGAATTCTTCTATTTATGATGAATGTATTTTGTTGTATTTCAGGATACGCTTTAATGAAATAAGAACAATTTTTATAGTTCCAAAATTGTTTTGAAAAGTTAGTGGTAACTTTATTTTTACTGTAAAATGTTTCTAAAGACAATATTTTGTAAAGTATAGTTAAACTTTTTAAGTTAAAGTTTAATTCCTTATTTTACAGGGCAGGAAAATATTTGTCAGAGACCTTTGACAGCAAATAACAATTTTTNACAATCGATAGAAAATATCATTGAAACATCATTTATTCTTTCTTCATTAAGCGAATCCCATTCAGGATAAAGATGATGAACTGCTAATGCTGCCATGAAAGTGGCAAAACCTTCATTAAGCCATATATCACTCCACCACTTTATTGTAACTAAATTTCCAAACCATTGGTGAGCCAGCTCGTGGAAAATAAGATTCGTAATGGTTGTAATTTTTGAGTGTGACAAGAAATTGGGATTATAAATAAGATACATTTTCCGGAAGATTATTAGGCCCCAATTCTCCACAGCACTATTCCAAAAGTTTGTTACAGCTACCATATCTAGTTTTGGAAGAACGTATTTGATATTAAGGTACTGTTCGAAGAATTCTAACCCTTTTGGGGCCGTATTCGCTGCTAAGCTGGTCTGAAAATTAATAGAAAAACATTTTCTGGCACTATTGTCATAAATTGTAGTGTTTATATACTAGATTGTTTTCGTGATCCGAAAACCAAATTTTGAATATCACATTATTGGTAGGGGCTTTTGGAGCGACCAAAGGTTTGTATTCAGACACAACGAAAGCCACAAGGTATGTCGACATTCGTACTGATTTTTGGAATCTATCCCAAACCCAGCCCTCTACTGCATTAGATTTCGTCATTTCTAAGTTATTACTGTTACCTCTCGAAGATCTTTTGAACGTTGGTTTGAAAAAATGATTTGGCAATTTGATATCCCATTTCGTTTTTGGCAACTGCACTAAATACTTTTAAACTATCGCCTTTTCTTAGACCAGATCTTTCATCAACAATTACTTGCAAGTAGCGTTGCAATAAGGAGGGATTCTCACTACATCCTAATGACTCTAAAATTTCGTCTTTCTCGTTAATTGCGTCTGTTTGTTTATATTTGCTCCATAAGAAGTTCCATTCGTTGTCACCAGCATTTTTCATTCCGTTACAATACACCACTGACCGAAGCTCCTGCGGTATGCTAAGGTAAAATGGTAAATTGCATTAGTAATTTTTTTCTTTTATATTACGAAATGTTCCATTTTGCATCGACCACGAAACCACCTGACCAAAGAGCGGAGGGATTAATCTGCCTCTGTCAGTATGAACCCTGTTATAAGTAGATTTACTTACGTATTAACTCGGGGACTTATAACGTGCTCTCTGAACATTTGTCCTACGTTTGCCATACAGGCGCTTGTATTAAAAACGCATGCAAGTTCTAAAACAATTTCCTTCAATTTCAATTTGTTCAATTCTCCTGGTTCTTGTCCCTCAACTGTTATCGCTTTTATCTTTTCCGCTATCGGCTCTAACAGGCGTTTCATAAATTCCTGAAATATTTTATTTGTACTGTGTAAATCGAGTCCTTTTCGTTCTCGGTAGTACATTAAAGAATTAATTTAACTTACGCGATATAATTCCAACGCGGTGGTGTTACGTAAGCTAATTTTAAAACGGTATGAGTTCTTCAATACTGCTTCCCACGGAAGATAATCAATTTCCCTGTCTAAATACCGTAATATTCCAAAGAAAATCTTGTAACTTATTTTGTCTAAAGCTGCCAAATTAGCAGAGTCTTCGATTAACAGAAATCTATTTAAAACAGGTATGTCGTTGTATGATTCACTATTTAACGTAGATTGTAACATTTCCCAATTTTGGTCGTCGTAATTCACTCTATACAAACCTACCATCCGAATATTGAAAATTACCCATTCATTTTTTGTCGCAATGTTCTTAATAATCTTCGTGTTTGGTGGACAGGATAACCAATCCTTTGTACGTGTACGTGTCTTACCAAATCTTTTTTTGCGTTGATTTGTATAAGTCAACGGTATCCACCAACATTCATTTGTTGGTGAAATACTTTTATCTTGGTAAAATCGCTCCTAAAATTGGGTAAGCCTCGAAAGTGAAATTAATTATTATAAAAGTTTTTGACTGACCTGAGTTATTTTTGTTGAATTGTCTTCATAACTTCTATTAACTGTTATAACAGGATATCCTGCTTGAAGGGTCCATGTGTCCATTATAGTTTTGACATTGAATTTTCTTGCAAGTGTACCGCTTATATGACCTTCATTTGTCAGAAATTGAAAGAGATCATCTTGTTCAACATTTTTGAATTTGTTTTCTTCCAAATATTTAGTTATTCCTTTTTTAAACGTTTCCTCTCCTAGGAAGTGAAACATCATGTTCACCAGACAAGAGCCTTTTTGATACACCAATCTGTCAAAATTATCCAGTATTTCTTGAGGTGTTCTAACTGGTGAAGAGACCTTTAATACAAAATATCAACCATTTCTCGAATTCGTACAATAACAGAACTACATGTTTTTTGTTTATTTAAAAACTACATTTTCCCCCAGGATATTGGACTACTTCAACGTTAGATTTTTAGTTAAAAATTTATAAGAAGAATCGATTAATGGAATAAATATTAACATTTAAACAATTCTCCAGAAATATGATAAATGTCGATAGCTTTACAGGGTGTTTCTGAAATAAGTAGCAAGCTTGCGGTGGTTGTTTTAAAATTTAATAAAATTGCTTATCTTAACCGTTTACCTATTAAAATTTGCACAACGTTAATTGTTTCTTTCTTTTGTGTTCTTAATAGCATACCGAGATGCACTTTAAATATTACCGCATATTTTATGTAGTTATTTAACGAGTTGTTATCGTAATGAGGTTCTAAAGATTATTATTTGTATTAGGATTATTGTATCCTGTTGATGTCTACTATGCCAGTTGTTCTACAATCGACATTTTTCGTCGATGTAGTTGCTTGGTTGTTACCGCAATTTCTCTATACATTGTAAATTCACGCTCAGGACCGGGGTTTCGGATCGCCATGTCGTATGGTTTGGTTACAATTTTTTTTATCCCTTCGTGACGCATCTACCAAAAGCTAATACCCTATAAAGCTTGTTGCTTATTTCAGAAACATGCAGGATAAGTACCGGCCGTGAACTGTTTAGACAATCGATAGAAAATATCATTGAAACATCATTTATTCTTTCTTCATTAAGCGAATCCCATTCAGGATAAAGATGATGAACTGCTAATGCTGCCATGAAAGTGGCAAAACCTTCATTAAGCCATATATCACTCCACCACTTTATTGTAACTAAATTTCCAAACCATTGGTGAGCTAGCTCGTGGAAAATAACGCTCGTAATGGCTGTTTCTTTTGAATGCGATAACGAATTGGGATCATAAAGAAGATAATGGTGTAAGATGATTATAAGTCCCCAATTCTCCATAGCACCAGCCGGAAATCGGTTTACAGATACCATATCTAGTTTTGGAAGAACGTATTTGATATTAAGGTACTGTTCGAAGAATTCTAACCCTTTTGAGGCCGTATTCGCTGCTAAGCTGGTCTGAAAATTAATAGAAAAACATTTTCTGGCACTATTGTCATAAATTGTAGTGTTTATATACTAGATTGTTTTCGTGATCCGAAAACCAAATTTTGAATATCACATTATTGGTAGGGGCTTTTGGAGCGACCAAAGGTTTGTATTCAGACACAACGAAAGCCACAAGGTATGTCGACATTCGTACTGATTTTTGGAATCTATCCCAAACCCAGCCCTCTCGATCCTTCCTGAAAATAAGAAAATGCGTATATCTTTTGTGGAACCGGAACGTTTACTTTTTTTTTAATATTAATGTGAAAAGTCATTTAATTTTTTTTCCATCATAAATTACCTCAAATTAATGAGGAAGAATATGATATTTCATATGAAATTAATAGATATATTCATTCGTTCGATCAATCTGTTTCATCGTTTTTGCTGCTGTCACTTCCCGTAGCTTAGCAATTATTGTGTAAAGCTAAAGGCACCGGGTTCGATTCCCGGCGAGGGTGTGACTGCAGCAACAATATTTGGATAAAAATGAAATAAATTTTCACATTATTACATGGTTTATGCGTACATGGGTTCGGTTCTTTCGAGAGGCATGTTGCTTAAAGTGTTGTATTTTCTCAACCTCCCGAGACTTATTTCAAAAGTAGCTTTAAAGTTCGGTTCGTCAAAACATGGAAATGCCCTTCTGGCATCCGTTGGTTGAAAGTTCGTAAATGCCATCCATTTCTTTTCCTTGCTCGTCGAATCATAGTAATAATCTCTATAATATCCTCTATAGTAGTAACTGAGATTTCCGGTAAATCGGATTTTAAGATTGTAGGTACTTCCTGGCGTTAAGGGTTTATTTAATTTGATACTCATGGTTTCGTTTTCCGGGTATAAACACCATTCCACAACATAAACAGAATACTGGTCACCTCCAATATAATTAAAGGTGACACCTTGGTGTATTGTCAAATTCAAAACGTTTAGAATTATTTTATCAGTTGAATTCAGGCATTTTATCTATAAAACCATGTCGTAGAAGTTACCAAAACATTGATACATTTATTTATGAAGTGTAGTAGTGGAATAATTTGTTTTATGGTTCAAACTACAGTTCTACCAACTATTTTAGACTTTATTTAAAGGGTCATTTCTTGAACTATCTCTGTTATTTGATCAGCTACTCGTCTATCAATTTTTTTATAAACTACAAGATAATATTTCAGACTTAATTTTTAGCAGTTTATTTCCTTAATTTAATCGTTTGATGCAATAACGATCTTGTAATCATGCAAAATCAAAAAATGATCTGTTTTCCGTAATACAAACATAAACCCAACATATACAGTGAAGACCAGGTTTCTAGACGGTATATAGTGGATCATTCTAGAAAAACGGCCAGTTTCTATAAATATTTGTGGCAAAATCAAATTAGTTAGTACAAGGACGAATTCGAGGCGATGCAATGCTAAGAAGTGAGAAAGTGTATATATAGTGGTGAATGGATAACTAATTAATAATAGAAGTGTTACGTAGACAATAAATACTTAAATAAAAGTAGTAATAGTGTCATGAAGGTGTTTAAATACGTGACAATATCATGTTAGATAACTTGTATTTGTAAACGTTTAAAAGATAGTTGAATGCTAAGTGTAATTCCTCAATTTTAAATAAAAAAAATCGGTTATCTGTAAAGTCGGTTTACTGACGATAGTTGAACGTGACAACGTCATAAGAAAATACTGTTGGAATGGTTTCATTTTTCAAAAGAAAATTTTAATTTTATTTGTTTGATAGATATTTTGTATGGATATAGAGAAGGAGGTAAATGGAAATGTATTATTGTATAGCAGCT